GTTTTTGTGGGTTTTTTTGTTTTTGTAGTTTCTTAATATGTGGTAGTGGTTGCATGTCCTCGAGAAATATTTTGTCGAAATTCAAATTTTAAATTTTGAAAAAAAAAAAAGCAAGAAAAGATAAATAATGTAGGTATAATTGTTAAAAGAATGAAATAGTGCTTTTCTCTCTCCAAAAGAATTTTGCTTTCTGGGCTTATAAAGAAGGATTCTCCTCTGTAGATGCATTTGTCAATGTCAGATATTGATGGACAAACTATTGTTATTTTTATTGATATAGTCTGCTTTTGGATTGCCACCTATTCTGAAGAATCAGATGATATTTCAGGAAAAAAGTGTGCCCTAATGGCAAGTAACTTTTATTTTGGGGAAAAGTTCCCAGCTGAATGTGGTTGATATTGTGGTGACTTGCTATGAGCTACAAACTCAGCTCTCAACATTTTCCCCACATCTTTGGACCATTTAGTGTAGAAGAGTGTGTCGTTTTTGCTTTGAGAAAATTGACTGCTTTGTTCCTAATGTGTGCTTTTATACATAGAGGCCAGCTCAGATGCTGCTGGATCGCTAACAACAACAACACCATTCATAGAGGTCAGCTTCAACTGTGATTTTGGAAGAATCTCTTTTTGCATATCCACCAGCCTAAAGCAAAGATACAAAAAATACTGTCAAAATTATCCAAGATGGCCACCCATTGTCTAGGACAAAAGTAGTTCTTTTAGACATGTGCACATCTTGGGCAGCGGCATGATAACAGAAAAAAACACAAGGGGGAATTGGGAAGTAGTTATTTGTACAGGCGATTGTCTAGAACAGATGGCCGTTAGAGTGGACCTTGGTGGTCTAATATCGATAAGAGTAGGCTTGGACCGCCACCCGAGCAAAATTCAAAATTTCCTAACAACTGAAAAAGTTTAGTGTGTCCCGCGCGCTCATCTGACCTTATGCAGTTGCGAGCGCCGTAAAACACTTATGAAAGAAAAAAAAGAGCAGGTTGGACTGTAAGGTTTCCAATTTCCCACCCACCTCCCCAGTCCTTCGCTGACATGGCGTGACCTGCAGCACATTATAGTGGAGAC